TTATTTTGTATAACCTTGTGTACATTTAACCGACAATTTATTGTTTATTACAGATTCGTAGTCACATGGTATCTCAGTTCTTATTAGCAGTATCCATGTCTACAGATGAAGGTGATGACAAACCATCTTACTTCCAGTCTTTCTGTCGGGTATGTGTCAATTATACTCACCCGTATTATATAAGGTTGTGTCATTACTGCACTGCACTGTAATGTGTTGCGCATATCTTTCAAGGTTTCAATAATATTCCTATGTATCTATTATATAGGTTGGTTCAGGATACACATTGAAAGAACTTCATGAATTCAATCGTAAATTGGCACCCTCTTGGAAGAAGTTTGATGAAAAAAACATCCCACAACATTTATTATTAACATCAGGGCTGAGGGTAAGTAAAATATCTGTGAAAATTGATGAAATATTTCAAAGTGTGATAATAGAAGAAGCCAAGCATCATCCGTGGAACCAATAAGATATGGGTTTCCTGTCATGCTTTGCATCAACACACTGAATGGAAACAATTAACATGTGAAAATTAAAAATAGCAATGCACAAGATATAAATAATAAATAAACACCATTAATGAAATTTGTAAGAATAAAAATATTTCAAAATGAAAAAAGGTCATGGCTAATTAATAACTATGTGTGGTTAGCAAAGTGTGGACAATTTGGTGTGTAAGATTAAATGCCTATTTGAATGTTTGTATGTCACTCCCTAGTGTAGAGAGTTATTATCATCTGTACTTAAAGAATAAGGAAAATTGTACAAGAAATATTATTGAGGATATTTTTATTTATGTTGAAGCAGACATTTTTGGACAAGACTTGTAAACGAAACAACAATTGTGGAGTTCTTTTCAAGACAAATTGTGTACACCATGAATAAATCAATCAATTGATTAGGGTACATTATTATTGATTACATTGAAACAGGTGATGTGTCTGTATGTCCTATATAGTAGCCTTCCTAAATTGGTGTGAATTACTTGACAAGCTACATAATCCTTTGGCTCCATGGGTCCTCCCAACCATCTATATATATATATATATATATATATATATATATATATATATATATATATATATATATATTTAGCTGTATAAAGAGTTACAACACACATATATCACTTTCATTGAGGTATATAAAAGATGTGAAAAACACAACGGGTGGATGCCAAGTGCAGAGCGCACTTTTAGAAAAGGACCGAGGGCAGACGAGAAAATAATACAGTGCGGATCAATAAACCATGGAGGACGGACACGCTAATATAATAGTATGTAGACGATGAAAACAAATACATGACTGACCTCCATGACCTGGAAAATAGTCGGTCAATAAATTAAACGCAGACCGATTTACAAAATTACCGGTCAAAAACACAGACTGCAAGTCAATGATAAAATTAAAATAATTAAAAGCAGGCTATGACTGATGAGAAAAATAGCTGGGTGAAAATGCAAACTACAAGTAAATGACATACCTCTATTATATAATGTGTACTTTTAGCTCCAACATTAACCAATATTTCGAATCAGCAATAACACTTTTGTAA